GACCCCTGTGTGAACTCCGTGGTAGAGCCCCTAGGCCTACGCGAGACCCTAAACCCTAAACCCCAAACCCTATAAACCCTATAAACCCTAAACCCTATAAACCCTATAAACCCTAAACCCTATTGGGTCCATGCTGCGGTCCCCTTATTGAGTGAAACTCCCATGTGAGGTCGTAAATCAATCAGCGACCCCGGCGATGCACGTTGGAACAAAAACGACCTCCATAAGTCTTCACCACTCAAAGGGCCATGCTATATATATATATGTATCCATATATGGATAGATAGATCTAGATGTAGGTGTAGGTATATATTATTATCTATATGTAAGAGCCGCTAGCCGCCCGCGATCTGAAGGATTTCTAGTTTGTGCCAGCATGCCAACACTGCGACAAACAGAATCCTGGGTGCTCATGGCGCTTGGAAGGTCTTGCTTGTTCGCCATGACCAGGAGAACGGCGTCCTTTGAACCCCCCGCAGGCCCTGAGATGGCTACAAATGCTATTACAGCTATTGCTATGCCTTTCCCTTAAGGCTCTATGTAGGTACTAGTTATCGACTTTGGGGCCCAATGTAGGTACTATTTTATAGACTTAGAGCCCTAGGGTTCTGGGTGCAACTGATCCAGCTACAGGATCCTGCCTACAAAAAAAACAATACAGGCGCGGAAGGCACGAAAAGCGGCAGGCTTAGCTGTGTATGCTGTATAGACAGACTAGTGAGCAAGAAGGACTGTGATGCATGTAGCATGCGACCAGAAACAAAAAAGAACCAAACTGAATGTGTGGAATCAGAATTACCCGGTGGATGCTGCTGCTGGTGCTGCTTCCACCAGAGCTTATGTGGTGATGCCGCTGCCGGGAATGTTGTTGGGGTTCAAGGCTGCAGGATTTAGAGTCTAAGGGGATGGACAACAAGCAGCTCACGACCATTTTTACGATTCGCCTCCTGCAGTGAAGATCAGTTTTGTCACAACCTTCACCATTCATTACAACTTTCCGTTGAATGTCGGCTCCTCTTGGGGTCGCTACTGGTAGTCATCCTGTCGTTCGGCAAGGGTTGACACGTGGATAGCAAGCAGCTCAGACATTGATATATTGTCGCATGCCTGATGAGAACACTGTCCTTCGAGGACGAACTCTAGGATCCATGTCTAAAAAGAATCACAGCGCGAATGATAAAGTTCACGGTTCGGTTCCATTCCTGAAGAGTTCGGTTCCATTCCTGAAGAGAAGTCACAATGATCAGAAAACCAGTTCTAGCTGATACGGAGCCCTGGGCTTAGGGGAATGGATCCTTACAGTAGCCCCTATGTAACACACTATAGAATGGAGAATCACATGGAAACTGCCGATTTCCAGCGATGTACAGTGTTGAGGGCTTAGTTTTAAGTTGCTGGCGATGAGAAGGGAACTGAGGAATGCAAAAGAAAACAAAAACAACTGGAGTGGCAACAATTATTAATACAAGGACTACTGTAGGGATGCAATCCTCTGCTCCCTAGTATTAACGAGTAAGCTGCGGGATGCAAATCATCAAAAGTAGGTGCAACTGAAAGCCTTCAGGGCACAACATAGGTATCATTTAGGTGGACCCCCCACCCAGTAACAGTGACTACAAGGATAACAAGGATTATACCAGGGTCATCGTATATCCTTATTATACCACTTTACAGGGTGGGGGGGGGTCCTCCTAAGGTATCGCGAGTTAAAGTAACATCCGCAGGGCAACTCCTCAAAACGAATCCACAAAGAGCACTGGTGATTCTCGGGCCTTCATTTCCTCGCGCTGGAGCATTCTCATCAGCTCCTGAACAAATTTGCATCTTCCCAAATTTGTTATGTGGCGTTTGCAGGTTCTTGCGCTTCTTGCACTTCCGGCTGATAGCACATTATTGGCCATTACAGGCTTCGGCGTCGAATGATAAAGCTCGACATGAAGCAGACACGAACAACACTGAAGACACACAACGCAGTACTGGAGCATGACGCCTGGTTCGCAGCAGCCCCTACACAGGACAGCCATTTGGGGCGAAGGGTCTGTTTTGCCTCCCTTGCCTAGAGTTTGTCACAGCATCCCACTACGTAGGTTGCCTTCACTTTTTCTGGACTGACAAATATCACGGGCCCATATGACTACCACAACGAGGGCATGTGGTCAAGTTGAGTTTTCGAGAGCAATCTAAAGCTTCGGACAAGTTGGGGTACGTTTATGGGTTCGGTGTAAGGGTTGGGATACGCGCAAATGTGTAAGTACACGTGCTGATCAGTGCACATGCGGATATGACATTGGGATTCCGAATTCATGCTTTCACCGCAAACTCTAATGCTTCTGGAAACCCATGTGCACACATACAACGTGGTCCTTGCACAGTTTTGCAAACAAGCGCTTCTGCCTCTTCTTGCCATGAGATGCTTCCCTTTCTACCGACCTGGCTATTAAAGAAGTGCCACTGGAGCTTAAATGGACGGCAATCACATGGGTAGTTCCCAAAATCAGGGTCCTATTTTGTTAGGTGCCGTAATATAATCCATAGGCAAAAGGCACCCATAATGAGAACAACCCACATGTAACCCAGCTCAATTCAATGACGGTTGAACCCCCGACCGGAGCCTCATGAGCTTCCTCAATGCGCTCGCGGTCGCTGCTGTCGATGACCTTGCCCAGGCAACTTCCAAGGTAGACCCATACGCAAACGCGAAGCGGGAAGTGTGGGTCCTGGGATGCGACTGTCAAGTTATGTTGGGTTATATTGGAGTTATGTTAGGGTTATACTGGGATTATGGAAGATAAGTTCGAACCGACTGTACCATGGTATATATATATGTCTATTTCTGGAAACTCTGACTGTCTCTGTATTCAGAAGTTCCACCCTCGCTGACGCCCTGAACCCGAACCATACCAGACAGTGAAACCGATAGCCCCAACCCTCTATGAGTCTGGAAGCCAGCAAGCCTCTAACCACTAAACCATCAACCCATATCAACCCTACAAACCTGCGACGCTCCCGTGGCCCAGGCAAAAATCAGACCATCCGTGCTCCTTGGTCAGGTTCAAGGAATCGACTCTTTACTGGCCTTTGGTTAGCTGGGAATGAAGGAATGGAAAGAACATGGAGACTACTATAACGGGTTATATAGGGATTATTATCCGGATCCATTCCTTCAATTTCCTTCATTCCTAGCTAGCCAAAGGATGAGGTTTAGGTTGCTTATCACCTACAAGGAGTTAAGGCCACGAAGAAAGAGACTTAGGGTCACATATTTAGTCCCCTATATGGCCCCCTGTGAGGAGTTTAGACTACAGTACATGCAGGCTTAGGCGTTGGGCTTCAAGGTGTGTAGGGATCAGGATTGAAGGTTATCAAGGCCCATGGGAATCTATACGAAGGCATGACCGGGCTTTGGCATTTTCCGCTCCAACATGCCCGAATCCTGAGCCTCCATCAGGGTTGTTTGGTATTAGGAACTTCACGTCAGCCCAGAAACCTAAGGCAGTTGTCCCGGATTCCAGGGAACTCCAGGGTGAACAGATTTTTCCAATTCTCCATAATACCTGTTATTCACAACTGTGACCTTTTGTTTGTTTTGTGGGCAGCAGATCGAACTGGCCAAACTGAAAATCTAAATCTGCTCTCTCAATCCTATACCAAAGCTGAGAAAATCCCGCGTTGTCTTCATGGAGTCTTGACCCGCCCAAGCTCTATCCAGGCTACCACTACGCCTGCTGTCCCTGGGGATCTAGCCGTATAGATTAATGATACCTATATTGGGCCCTGAAGTCACTGAATAGTACCTACTTTTGGCTGCTTAGATCCCGTGCAATTCTATTCAGAAGATCGTTGGGCTTCGCAAAGGTTGCGAACCAAGCTCCTAGGTAGTTTTGTTTTGTGTTTTTTGGGGGCGTTGGGCGTTGGGGGTTGGCGTTCAGGGTTTCGGGTTTAGGGTTTGGGAGGTTGGGATTCAGCTCTCCCGGCACGTGCTCATCCCTAAACTCCAAACCCTAGATCCCTTGAACGTTTCTGATAATCCTCACTGTTGCCGCTGTAAATGGCAACAGGAACCATTCACCCCATTTAAAGCCATAGCCTTTAGCTGATCGTCTCAAGAGGATGAGAAAGAAAGCTGCTGACCATGAGCCCAGAATTTCAAGTTAAGCTAACGAAGGATTTAGGGTTTAGGGTCGAAGGCTGCGCAGTAAACTTCTTGCAAATTGTTGAAGCATCTTACACCCCTTCTATGGAGTTGTGTAGCTCAGATGCCCTTTTGAAACATGTAAGTGCCCATATTCAACAGCAAGATCCGGACAACACCGGTCAAGTAAAACTACTCTGATGTGGTAAGCTAAAGATGCTGAGCCTCTGATAGTAGTGCTGCCAGATCTGTCGGGTTCTTGTCTGGCCACCGAGGTCCCAAACAGTGAAGACGATGTTCTTGTACTCCTTTTAAGGACAAGGCCCCTGCCGGCTCATCATGAAGATCAACATATGCAGCAGGACAAAGGGCTTTATGCTGGCGGATTTAAAAGAGCTCTTGTGTCATGTGCGGCAAGCCTTTTTTGGAGCCGTCTTTATCATGGATGCTTCTGACGGGGGAAGGCTCTCCCATAGAGTCTGTTTCCCGAAGTCAGTATGTATAGGGTTTAGGGTCTAGGGTTTAGGGTCTAGGTTGTGAGCGACAACAACAACCCTTGTTGTGAGCATGTATTAAGGTTAGGGCCTGAAACATCTCCGGTGTGCTGACCCCCATAAACGCCACAAACTAGAAATCCCCCCCTAATAATAGCCCCCCTACCCCCTGATAGAAAACATTCCCCCTGCTATAGAATGGTACCCATTTCGGGTTTCGTTATTCTGTAGTCCTGCTAAACTGCTATATAATATGTTCAATAGTTCCTTTGGGTTCTACTATAGTAACAAGATTGAAAAAATCGCCTTAGAAGACTACAGTATTCAGGGGAGGGGATTTGCTGTTAGCTTGCACGCCGGAGCTTGGGGCTGATGCTTTGCACACGAGTTCTAGATACCTGCGCTAGAACTGTGTCCGTTTGCTGGGCTGCATCTAATAGCTCAAGTTTTGGGACCCCACAGCCCTGCGTTGTAGAGTCTTTTCCGTTGTTCCCTGTTTCGGCTGGGGGGAGGTTTAGGGGGGTTGGGGCTTGGGTTTTTTCACCACAGCGTGGAGCGTCTGAAGGAAGCTTTTTGCCCTAGAGCTGAGGGTTTGAAGCTCCAAATGCCTTCCTCTAAGGGATGCTCACTGCCTACCCATAGTAAACCCCCAACCCTAAACCTTAAACCGCAAGGAAGCAAGCAATGCCCAGCCCAAGGCCAGGGATCTGATGACTTCTTGCTAAGCACCTACATAACAGATGGTGCGCAAAAAGCTTCCCCTTAAACCCTATAGGGTTTTGGGTTTAGGGGGTTCTGTATAAACATGTTAGGACTCAAGTCGATTCTAGTTGGGTCTTGGGTTTGGTCATGGGCGATCAAGGTAACACTCCCCCAACTGCGTCGTCGCAGTTGCATAAGTCAGACGTTGGCACACAGAGGTCATGCAGAAATCCTAACGGGCTTAGAGTTTAGGGTTTAACCCTAACCCTACAACCCTAAATTGCGTCTTGTGTACACCTGCGGGGCACTTCTCACCCCTCAGAATACAGAATTCAACACCAGCTGCCATCAGAAAACAGGCGTCAAAGGAGTTCTGGCATCTTGTCACCACCCAGCTTGGCCCAGCTCTGCCAGGATCAATTATATAAGGGTTATACAGGGGTTATATAGGGATAATGGAAAAGAAAATGGAAATTACTATAGTATAAAGATTTCAAAATTTCAAGGGCTGAGGGAGATAAAAGCATTGGACATATTGCTGCTGAGTTCTTGTTTGGTCTTGAATACTCTCACTGTTCGTGGACATCTTCCGAGCATAAAGGGATGTCTATCATCAAAAGAAGGGTCCTTGAAGAGCCGAGGAGGATAAGGTCCCGAAAAACAGATACGTGGGAAAACAAAATGATCGAGGAACACGTAAAACCTGAGAGACACTGCCATTGCCTCTAAATTTTAAAATCGCAGCACCTGCCTTCAGGAATGCATGCAGGATACGTAGCGAGCCATTCATGAGCGATGTCGCCAGACATCCTATCGTAAGTCCAAGGGAAACGAAGGTTAGCCTACTCCTGGGACACCCCGTAGAATGATCATTAGTGTGGAAGACATTCATCGAATCATGGAGTGTTTCCAGTATCAGGTTCTTTTTCCGAGCGAGCTTTTGTGTCTTTAGATGCCCCAAGCTTTTTCATCACCTTCTCGATCCCTAAGCCCTAAACCCCAAACCTCCCCCCCCCCCGGTCTCCAACTTCTCCACATTGAAGCCCACGGTGGGCAAAGTCTTCACCTGCACGCCCAGCTTGAGGCGATACCTGAGTTTCAGAGAGAATATGCTGCAGGGCTTTACCATCTTCTAGGCCCCAGCCCAGCTACAAATGTACAGGAACCCATCATGTAATTATGTTGGGCTTCTAGGGCCGCGCGCTTTCTGTCGGAGCAAAGGTTCTGGCTGAATCGTAGCTTCGATACTGCAGGCTTTGCACTTACAATCCGAAGCCAAAACTTGTCGTAGACTTCTTCTTTGCATGGATGGGATTCTCATGTATTCAAGGTCCAGGTTTCATGTATGGGCAAGATGCCCTAAATGAAAGACTAGGCTATGCCCGCGCCGCCGCCGGCGCCTTTCAAATAACTTCAAGCAACAAGCCGAATCATGACAGAGCTTTGCAGGGAAGAGGGGCCGCCACTTGTCTTTACTCATGCTCATCAGGGAATGGGCGAATGGGTGATCGGGACTATACAGGATCCATTGAAAGATTCCCCAGTAAGCATGGGCAAGTATTGGACAGGTCTCCTACTAGCCCGACCCAGCACGCACATGCATATCCTGGCAAACTTTCGACCATGGCGTTCAAGATTGGCGCAGTATTGAAGAAGCCTGACTACCTACCAATATTACGGCCCAGAATCCTCATATGAACAACGTGCTATCTACCACTCAAGAGTCCTAGTCAAAGCAATAAGGTAGTTTCCCAAAATAAGGGGACCCCAATAAAGACCCCAAAATACCATAGTCCTTGCTGGTGGCAGGCAGCAAGGAAATGGCTACAGGATCCTTTTTCAACTAGGGAGCACGCAATGCAAGAGGGGAAAAGATCTGATAACTATGTCTGTGCCCCGTGCCTTCACAGAATTCAGCACAGGGCAATTGATCCCTTAAAGTTTTGACTTTTTGGCAGTTGCGATGTCGCGCGGTCCAGCAAGAAATTAGTCATCACAGCCAAGCCTGTGCGCAGATTTTCCCAAGATATCCAGCAGTCTGCCTAGCCGCGAGCAGTGAAGAGTGCACTGGGCATGCTCCTACGAGATTCGAGTCTATCTTGTCCAGTTGCGCAAATACGAGCACAGGCTGCAGCCTCGCCTCTGGTGTTGACCTGGTATGTTGCGCTTAGAAATCGTTGATGGCGTCAGACCACTACGTACTGGTTCAATGCTTAAATGTTTGCAACTCTTAACTACAGGCTTGTAGCCGAAATGGCTGTGGAGGGTATAGCACTGCTTTCTATACACCAGCACTCCCCCCGTTCTGCATTATACAGAACGCCCGTAAAAATGTTTCTGCTTATATACATCAGTTCTTCCCGAACTGAGAAACGCCCTTACTTCCTTCCTGGAAGGATGTTTATTACTGTATACAGCAGCAAGTATTCTTACCTTTGAAGGTTGGACCACTGAAGCAGGGTAGATCCGAATGGAACAAAAGCGCCTGCCCGGACAGTCTTATCATGGCGACCGCATCCGCAAACTCCAACTATGGCAGCCTTCGGACCAAAACGAAGAAGATCACGAACTTCCCCAATTGCAGCTCCACGAGAGCCCAACAGTACCAATGGATCTCCATACAAATTTAGGAGAATAGCACTATGCTGCTCCTCAGAGACAACGAATGAAAGCAGATGAGGTCCATCATTTGAACTGGAGCACGGGATAGTGGGGTCCTGGACCATCATATTTCCAATTATGCTTTGGCTGATCGTGTATCTCACCATAGGAGAACTAGGACTGGTCCTGGTCGGAAAGGGTTCTTCAAGAACCCTTAGGACTATATCTTTGTCCAAGTTCTTGAGATTTGTACCATCAGGTATCTCCAACGCATTTTGGTAAATGCGTACGCTGTGTCCTGAGTGATGCATCAAAATCTTCAACTCAATGGCACAGCATTCTTCGTGAACAATCACCATGTTCCCAGGAAGACGGCCGGAGTTGTGCTGATCGTGGTAAGTCGGCATCCTCTGACACGTTGACGTTAACGTCAAAACCGCAATAATGTTCTCCCGAATTTGACCCCTACTTACTGGAGGGTGAGGGGGTTTTGAACTACCCTCTTTAGCTTCTTCTCGAAGGCCAGAGGATGGAGGAGATACAATTAGTAGTGCAGCAGATCCTGCTCCAGTTGTTGCACCCCCGGAGGGTCGTAGCAGTAATGATGCAGAGCTAGCTTCAGTGGTGCTGCCTCCCAAACAGGAGGAGGAGAATAAGCAAAGCACTACTTCGGAACAAGATGCGGTGACATCACCAAAGCTGAGAAAGAAAGCCACGAAGACAAAGTTGGACAGGAAGAATCCAAAGGGCTCAATTAAGCGTAGTCTGGAGCCAGAAGAAAAGGAGCCTACAAAACGTAAGACTCCTCAACCTCCGGCTCCTCCAAAACGCCGAAAAAGGTCGCAGCCTGAAAAGCCGGAAAACCCAAAGGAACCCTCTTCAGGTCATCCGCGGGCATATCTTTCCCCTACTCCCAAAGTTAAAGCCTCAACCAGCAAAGAAGAGGCAGAGACTCCTACCAAAAGGAAAAGAGTCAAGGCTAGTCGAAAGGCCGCTCTGGTAGAAGAACTACCAGTAGCAAAGAGCGAACCAGATTATGAACCGACCGAGAAACCTCAAGGTTCAAAACCTGCAGGAGTCAGTGAAGTTGTCCCCGCTCCAGCAACTCCAGATTCTTCAGAAGACAGTAGTTCTGACGCCAAGCAGCATGAACCTGAACTTAAGCAGATGAGTGCTCAGCTGGATAGTCTTAGGGCTTCAACGCAAGCCCCAGCGAGACCTCCAGGAGGTGGGGGAGGACGCTTAGTACATCTTGATACTGTTTCCCACAGCGCTTGATTTGCACCCTGCCTAGCACTGGCGGTTGCCTTACGGCAAAATGTTGTTGAGTTTGGCCTTCCTCATCTGGGCGCTCATCGACCGGTTCCTCTTGTTCCGGTCTACCCGACCACTCTGCGTCGTCGGGATACCAGACATCATTGTTGGCCCTCCATGTTTCCCCTGGCCCATTATGATTTTTACCCCACATGGAGCGAGGTGGAGCGTGGGACGGCTCAACTGGCTGGGAGCGTCTACTAGGAGGCCGCTGAAGCTGTTTGAACCATTTGGCTCAAGCTGCTCCCTTTTCTGCAGCTGCAAGGACTCTTGGGCCCTTATTAGCGTCATATTGGCCGCCCCCATAGCGTACACACTGCTCCCAATCGTGATCATCGGACCCACAAATTGTGCACCTACTACCTCGCTGTTCATGATAAAACTGGCACCGACTTCCATATTCACATCGCCCTTGTACAAAAGCGTAGCACTCTGGTTGACCCCTTCCCGGCGCCCCGCCTCGTACGCGATAATGAATCCTTAATACGCTTCCTTCTTCTACCTCTTGAACACACAAAGGAGCGCGAGGATCTATCACTTTCCTGCCACAATTGATGTAAACATCACTTGTTGGAGTTACTGACTCGGAGATTTTTGCTGCTTCCACAAGAACATCGCGCAGGTGTGTAGAATTTTTAATCTCCAAAGTCAAAAATTCCCGATCGGGTAATTTTACCCATATCTGCAGACCCTTTACTGGTCCCTAGACTCAGGAGGTTGATTTACCATCATGCTAGTGAGCCATTGATCGTCCAGTTGCTCCTCGTGTTCACGAACCTTTTCATACTCATCCTCTCCCCGAGGTGAGAGTGCTGAGGTCATTTCTACTGATGGGAGCGTAGCACTGGCGCTACTACTGACTCCACCAAAACTGGTTGCAACTTCCGGGCATCAAGGACGGTTCCTATGGATGGATGAACCAGCGCATCAGAGTTCACCCCTCCAATCCACACTGGGTTGTTAATACTGGGTGCCTCCTGTCGCCTAAACACTTCGTGAAAAGGTCGAGGTTGAGACCAATTCAGTGTTATGGACGAAACGGGTTCACTCCTGCGAGGCGCAGCGCTAGAACTCGCAGCTTCAGGGGTGTTAGACTGGACGGGCTGCGCGCGCCTTGATCCAATTTCGCTAAACCCATCATGAATTTTAACCGGCAAAGCTCTAAGCTCTGTAGTACTAGGATAGAATGGTCGTATGGCGCCGGACGATTGATATCCCTGCCACGCAGAAGCTTAATGGCTTCGGCGTAGCTAATACCTTCTTCCATCAAGTCTTCTACGTAGGTAAAACGCAAGTCACTGGGACTTCCACTCCTAAACCATCCAGCATGACGACCTCTTGCGCGCGCGTAATCTCCCGCGCGTGGCCCCTTTCTTCAGCCTGCGTGTCCGGCTCCTCGTCCTGTGATAACGAGATTGGTTCCCGCTCATCACACGAGGTGGCTCACGGACATCCCCACACGCGTCAAGTTCATGAAACCTCCAGCCTGGTGGCGCGCTACTTTCAGGACGCTTGAAGTTGCACATATAACCTTGGTTACACTTACCTTTGGAGTAGCCTTATAGCGAGTTTTCCGCCAACGATTATCCCGGAGTATGCCTAAAGAAGGAGTGCGTGGCTTGGAGGACGATGAGGATTGATCATGGTCAGTAAGGCGTTTAGTACTGACCGGACTGGCCGGGACTTCCTCAACCTTCATTTCAGATGGGCCTCTACATACTAAGTAGGAACCCCAAACGCCTATCACTTGGACTGCCATAATCTCATCCCCTTTATGGAGATCATGCATATATGAGGTAGGCTCGGTAAGAATGGCTGTATGTTCTACCGGCTTTGTTGTCAGCCATACCTCTTGCGCATCACTATCAATGTGTGTGACGATGGCGGAAAAACGGTCACCTGTTTGAACCGATGGCACGTCCCCCTGTTCATCACTTGCCTGTTGGGCTGCTTCGAAATCAGGTCCGGTGAAATCCGGCTCAATGTTGTCCCCATCAAGCACCACATACTTGTCTCCGACTTCTGCGACGGGCATATCATCTACTGGGTCACCTACATGCACAAGCTCCAGAATATATTCACTTTGGCATAAAGACGAGCCCAGACTCCATTACCCGCGCGACCCCATAAGTACGCTGTGCGCAATGCCATTACTTCTACAGACAGCGTATCGCCG